TATATATACTTGAATGATTTGTCTAATAAAAGCTTGCAATATGGACGACTGATAAATTTTAAAGAAATTTTTTTTATTATTAAATGATTTTTTATATAGTAAATCAAAGTTTTAAAATAAAAATTTATCTTATCTATAAAAATTGAGCAAGATATTTAAGTAATGAATGTAAATCAAGTCTCCTGAAAAGAAATTTGATCTTCTTTTTTATGGACATAATAATAATTCAAACTTTTATTGTAAAACAACAAAATATAATACATCGCAAAAGTAAATAATAATCAAACATTTAATATTAATATAAAATAATATTGGTTTTATTTTATATGAAAACATTTCATTAATTTTTATAAGTAATACATAAAAAATAATTTGGTAAATAAATTTTCATAGCAGTAAGTAGATCACAGCGTCTGCTGTGATCTACTTACGTTTCTTTTCAATTTACCTGCATCAGGTAAGTCTTTACCTGTAGAACCATATGGTGAATGGTCGCCATCGTCATGTTTAATCATGATAACAGCTGAGAAGAATCAACTAAAGAAATTCTTGAAATAATAAATAATAATAAGAGAAATATAATAAAATTTATATTAATAATATTTTTTTATATATTTTTGATAAAACAGGAAGTAATTTACTAAAGTGCAGATTGATATTATTGAGTTAAATTGCAAGTACATCAAGTACATCATTAATATTTTTTTACTTAAAAAATAACAATAAAGCATTTTTATAATGCATTGCGTTAAATTTGTATATAATCATGAACCTTTTCATTTAATATTATTTTTGAACTTTGCTTTATTCCAATGCAGTTCCAATTTTATACTATTTAGTTTTAGATTTCTTGATTCTTGTCGATAAATTCTATTATTATAAATTTACAGCGTTTGTGTTTTTTTAGGTCATACTAAATTGATAATAATTGAAAAATAATTAATACTGTATTCCTATATATTTTCTCGTAAAAGCATCAATTTAATACAATATAATATGTAGGTTATCAAGATAATGAAGCTATCACGATAGATTTGCACGTAATCTTAATATTTTTATCTATTAATCTTAATATTTTTATCTAAAATGTTCTTTATATCTAATCTTAATATTCGATTTTGATCAATTGATTATAAGAGCATTATATTTTTTATTATTTAGCGAGAATTACTGAAATTTATATAGTTACTGAAATTTCTCCTTATTATCTTTGTAAAAATATTTTAGTCCATAAATTTCTAATTGACGAAAAATAGATAAAAGAAGAAAAAAAAAGCACAAAAACATATATATTTTTCGATAAATTATTAAAACTAAGCCAATTAAAATTTATATTATTTTCTAATCATTCTATTCATATTTCAACGCTAGAGAGGAAACAATCCTTTTATATCAATATCGTAAGTCACAATGAATAGGACAACTGGTGGGGTTAGACTTCGAGGATTGGTTGCGGTTTGTAGCCAAGGGGATGCGTCGGAGGGTGTTTTCGCAGGTATATATATTCCTGATCGGCGGTGTAGCGGCCGATCTGAACTACTGAAACGTTCGCCAGTATATCAAGAAGATACATCAGAAGATCGCGAGGGTGAGAAAAAAATTGTCAAGTGCAGTGATCGAACTTAAACTTTTTAATGTGTGATATTTATTGTTGATTGCTCAAGTTACTATCTTGCTATCTAACTTGTCACAAAGGCTTGTTTACTAATTGGAGAATATACTCGAAGTTCTGACTTAAGTGAATTTTAAAAAAAATTGTAACTTTGGTGTTATCAAGTTTGCTTGATTTGAAAAAGCCTGTGAAAAATTTCTAATACAATGATTTCAACATTTCAAAGAACTACTGAATTTATCACACAGTACTCTGAAATATTCTTTTAGATCAATGTTTATTTTAGATCATGGAATTGTTATTAAACTTATAATTATTGTCTTAATTATTATTTTAATTATTATTCTTGCTTGTGTGTATATTAACGATTTTAGAATTTAATTGCAATTTGTTTAATATTATCGTTTACTAAAATAAATTATAACCAAACAATGAATTTCTTGAGATAGTGAGATATAATAATTTATAGTTATTGATATATGTTGTAATTTTTTTAAATAGCTATGATTTAAAACTTGAAATAAATTCATTATTTAATATCAACGATGCAATTGAACTTATCGACATGTATTTAAAAATGAATATTTTTGATAGTTTTATACATATTTAACGTTTTTAATACAATAACTTGTGCATGACTGATTTTAAAAGTATACAGTACATTTTTGGTACATGTAATATAAAAAAATATTGTTTTAGAACTAGGAACGTAATAAGAATATATTAGGAAAATGAAATTCAATTTTTTAAAAGCAAATATAATTCATAACAAATATAAATATTTCATATATGGATATTACGTTTCATCAGTTAGGTTCAATTTTGTTAACAAAGCCTAAGAATCTCATTGCAAGTAATGTTGTGCAATATATTTTTTTGTGCGACCAATCAACGTGTGACAAACGTGTAAAAATACATAGAAAAGTGCATATAAAAATTAAATTTCACGATTTGATAATATTCGTATTTCGTATCATTATTGTCGTAACTTATACATATAATCGCATGTAAAATACGACACAATAAATTTTATATATTTAATTGAACTCGCGACCTTTCTTGCTATTTCACATTTCACGTGACAGATTTATATTTTAACAAATTTATTTTGATGAGTTGTGCTTGCTTATCACTTATTTTATTCCATAAGCAAATTAAAATTAATACCATTCTTTGTTCCTTGTCAGTCACAGTTAAATATTTTTATTTTCTTCCAACAATTTGTAATTAAAGTTATGAATACAAAGCGGAAAGAATTTACATACGTAAAAGAGCAAGAGCGAAAAGCCGACGTGTTATATTTTTACATAATATAAGAAAATATTAAAAGATGTGATATTTTAATATGAATAGATAATACATAATAATAAATAATGACGGTAATAAAGTTAAATTCATCGTGTAAGTTTCGCCATATCTTTGCAGCATTGTTATTTTAAACCATTCGAAATGCGGACACGGATAAATCTGGCTCGCTCCTTCTGTTGTTTACTCGTTGCCACTTTTATTGGAGTGATAACTACTAATGCCAAGCCAGAACCCATGGCTAGTTTGACCAGATCAGAAGAGACCGACTCGGATATCCAACTAAAGAGATACGCCGATCTTATCAGAAATTATCATTACACGTTTGGAAAACCGAGGTAACGATCACATCTGAAGCACTGATACATGTCTTTTCGTGACATAAATCAAGGTGTAATAAAGTTGCTTTAAATATAATTACTAAATTAGTACACATACCTATATATTAATTGCTTTACAAACATCTCAAATTACAAAACAAGTTTTACGTGAAAATAATAAATAATATGTAATTATGATAAAGTAATACATACGCGAGAAAACTAGTGGTCTCAATAAATAGTTAATTATATTGCATAAAAGATTATATTGAAATATAAAAGAAGGAACGTTGAGATTAATCTGTCTATACATAACTGTAAAAATAGAATTAATGCGAATTAGTGCGGAAATTAAGAATTGACAATCATTCGCAGGCTTGGCAAGCGAGGTGACGCTGCGCCGATGACGGAGTCGAACGCTGCTTGGGAGATCCTGAAGATGATTCAAGATGCGCAACGGCAAAACGAACAGCAAAGGCAAGAGAACATCAGGCAGAACAAAGAGCAAATCCTGTTCCGCGACTTTCCGAGCTCGGATGCCGATGAGCGCATGTCACACATTGCTGGCTTTCTTCCGGACGTAATCGGCAAATATTACGATGATGTTCAATAAAAATACTCTCATGTGGCGTTCACCCTCTCCTAACATCGAGATAATTAATTTTGTTTCGACCCCGAAGTGAATCAAAGTTCTCTATTATCTTGACACGCTTATGAATATTCGCAATGCTTATCAATGCTAAATTCTGTTCCCTTCTTTTCGTAATTTTTCGAATATTTTAGCATAACATTTAGATAAAAATATTTAACATTTAGATAAAAATAATATATGAGAATATGACAGAATATTGAAGATGACAAAGAACGTGTCAGGATGCTGGAGAAATTTTAAATTTCTTGTCGAGACACATGTGGGGATGTTAAAACTGAAAAAATTGAATATGGATTGAATATTATATGGATTATATGATATAAATGTAATATATATTAATAATTCTACTTATTATTTATGTAATACGTATTATTACGTAAATAATTTTATTTAATCTTGCATAGATATAAATTCAACTTATGCATAAAGATAATTTTGTTAATAATATTTAAGATATAATAAAGCTGAATTGAATTGAATGAAAATGTTTATTTTTTTAAAGATATATAATTATTTGAATAGCGAAGTCTGTTTTAAGAAATGTATAGAAAAGTGATTAAGAGGATTGTGTCAAATTTATTTGTAACAGAAATAAATAAAATTATAGTTATAAAAGACAATAGAAAAGATAAATTCTAAAATTATATTTTTATTGGATATAAATTTAATGTTATAAAATACGTAGATAACTTTATTTAAACTTTCAACATTTTTTATTACAAAGTTATTTAATGAGAAAATTGAAAGTCATATGGTACTAGAATCTATCAAAATCTGAATCTGGAATAGATAAAGAAATATAGACAGAAATATAGACTTAAGCATCTATACAAAGAAGATATAACAGATTAGTAGATCATCTACTAATTCATTATAACATAATAATGTTAATGTGAAAATGAAAATAATGATAAACAATTAATAAATTATAGTAATGATACTATTAAATCATAAAAGTTTAAATAAATAGTTATCGACAAATAATTTTTTCTTATTTAAAAAATAGAATTTTTTTATTACAATCAAAACTCTAATATTATCTTTAATTTTAATATTATTACATAAGAAAACGCTAAATTATCAAAAAAGTAATAATGTAATAATGAATTAAAATTCAAAATAAATTGAATTCAAATTTAATGGAAAAAATTATTCCATGTTTGTCGCCTTGTTCCTCATTCGCAAAGATATAACAAATTTATCTTTATTAATTATCATTTTCTATCAATCATGAAAGAACGGTCTTTATTAAACAGTCATGCTGCATACACATCCTACTTCCAAATCTTCTAAAAATCAAAGAATTATTCAACAAAATCAAAATACAGAAGTTAAAGAAGTTAGTAAGTTTAAGAATATGACTAAATCTATGCTACGCTGTTGCTGCACATACGAAATTTTTGGCAGTTATCATTTGATAGTAATACTATGTATTCAGGACCTTCTTCAGGACAAATATCGATATGAACAGATGTATGGAGATGTTTCGCGTCCATAGTTATTTTCACCGATTAAAGGTTTTACTAATTGCCATTATCAACCATTTTATTAATCGGATCATCTTCATTGAATGAACATACTTCATATACAGCATTTTTCTTTAGCTTACAAATTTTCTCGAGAGAATTAAATTGTCATTGTCGACCATATTATCAATAGTGAGAATGTCATCTTGATTGGATGAACGTTTTCCACATACGGCATTTTTCTTTAGCTTACAAATCTTCTCAACAGAATCGAAATAAAGGGGCTCAGGGCAAGGCATGACCCATGCTACACCATTGCTGCACATACAATACTTTTTGCAATCGTCATTTGGCAGTAGCACCGCATATTCAGGATCTTCATCAGGACATGTACCAATACAAGTAGATGGATCGAGATTGTCATATGTTTTGCGTTCATAATTATTTTCATTGATTAGAGATTTCATCGAATTATTATTATCGATTTTTATCAATTTGTGCCATCTTGATCGCGTAATAACTTCGTACAGCATACATTTATACGAAGTTTATACGATGTAGTTAGCTTCCTCTCCTGCCCGTGTGTTGTTCCCTCACCCTCGGCTGTTTTGCCCGTTTTCCCCACCACGTCGCTGTTCGCAGGTCGCCGGCGGATGATCGCTCGTACCTCGCCGACGGTGTTTTCTCTACGTATCTCAGTTCTCCAATTTCCTTTTTTTTTTTTCTTTTATTTTCTCCTCCCGATTGCTCCTCGAATTCGTGATGTTCATTAGGGGATAGCGATATTTCCTGCGATTGCGATTTGACCACATAAACAA